ATATATATATATATATATATATATATATATATATATATATATATATATATATATATATATATATTTTCTTTTTTCATATAAATTTTTTCAATTTTACTATGATATCATGATAGTGCAAGAATAAAGTATCAATAAGAACTATCTTGCTAAAAAACATAGCAAATTTTTAATAGCACGTTTCAGTTCCTAAAATATACATAGCACATGTGAGACGAAAGGATAGAAACAATTACTGCAGCAGTCGGTCTATTCTTCGGTTACAAAATTCTATAGCAATTTTTACTATAAAATTCTCTCCTTGTATTATAGTACTTTCCGTGTCAAGCAAGAAATTTTGTACGTTAATGCATGATTCCAAGGAACACGTATAATTTCGTAGTTATCGAAGTACAAGTTATTTTGTGTCTAAAGTAACTGTTCATTTCGTCGTTTTCTCGTTTCTTTTCGAGTAACTAGCCAGATTACCTATAATGGTGTGCCCGTCCGTGATAAGTGTTGTGCGGATAGCCGCTGCTCGAGCTAAACTCGTAATCAGCGCCAAGGTAAGAGTTGCGATTCGACCCGGTGTCCGCTTGAAACCACCATCTAGGCTGTTCCTCGTCGCATTCGCCCAGTCGAGGATACAGCCGTGGGTGAATCGGGGATATGTTCGACATTCTCACGTCGTAACCGGTGGCTACGCCGGCCAGCATTGCCGCGATGTTGTACAGTACCAGCTCTATTATGCTTAGCTTTGGTTTTTTCGTCTCGCCGTTGTACAGAGTGGGCATCGGAACGGCCATCGGCATAATGTACGGCCCGGTTAGTCCGGGCTTCAACGGATAATCCGACGTTATCCAGTCAGCCGAGAGGTCGGGCGGTAATGCTGTATAATCTATAAAAGATATTCACGTTTTTGGGCGACATTAGGCATAGCGCTCGCGTGACCTGCTTGCGCAGATAGCGGAATTGTCAACGCAGATTAATAGCGATCTCATCTGCGAAAATGACATTATTAATGTTCTTTTCCGTCGTTTTTGCTTAGATTCTTGTGAGTGCGAGACGCGCAGAAACGTGTTTCTTCTTTCTTACCTTGTTCGTGTTCGAATTATTAATTTTTGCAAATGTATTCGTACGTTCAGAGCTTTATATAACTGTAAGTGAGTACGGCAATAGTTAGTCCGTGGTTCGCGCGTTTGATAAATTATTATTTATATTAATTAATTATATGTGTATTGTCCATGCATGTAAAGCGATTGCTCGTATCGGAAGATATTAATTATTATCTTTGCGCGTTAACTACTTTTATCTTTATTACCTGGTGCTAAGAGCAAACACCATAAAAAAATGCACCCACACAAGTATAACATATAAGGCGTATTTTAAAAATCGGCCAAGTCGTCGACATCTATGACGATTTTAAACCCAGACATGTGCTTTCAATAAGAGTTCCAATACAAATAGTTGAATACAAATAGTTGAATGATATTTCTTGTTTAGACTCAACCAATTTTTATAGATAAAAGCAAAGTTCAACGTACTAAAGAAACATAGTGTACTAATCTACTAATCCTTAAGAAAATGTATAAGACAGCTTGTCTTATATATTATAGACTATGAACTGTGGAACTACGATCTATAGAACAGATAGTTTAGAAGTGAAAGACATTCCTTTCTCGTGAAAAATATGAAATACTCCAAACTTTGAGGACACTACGTCGAATGAATTGGACGATAAACGATTACACATATAAATTATTTTATACATATTTTATCTATAGAGATCTTTACACTCTAAGAATGTTGCCTCTCAACTTGTCAATTTGCAACAAAACAATTAACAACGAATTGGTATCACATAAAGCCAGATTAATTGCAGGGAAAGCATTTAATCAGACATACTCGCACGATTCCTATTCTTCGCAAAAATAGAATGTAATAGAATTGCACGCAGGTAATATTTGCTCCTTAGTGAGCCTAGGATCTTAGGAAAAGAGAGGAGCCAAACCCAATTGGAGTTAACAGTTAGGATCCTACTGGAAGCATGCAAGGATCATCTTTTTACGCTCGGCCATCGGCACGCAATAACTTTTCTTTTCCTTTTAATTAATAGAAAACACAAAATGATAAGAGCGATCATTGCAATACAAATCATTGAACCGTGATTCGTTATGTCATATTGTAGAAGCTTTCGTACACGCAATTGTCTAAAGTTTCGTGTGTCGTACTGATAAAAAAACGCTTTAGATTCACGCAATCTTGTTCGTTATATCACCAAAGACCGAGCGTAAAAATTCAGCAAAACGAAAAAACAAAATTCAATGTGTCCAACTGAAAAGGTTTTATTGAAAAAATTTCTATTACTAAAATACAAATGTGCGTGTGGTTCCGTGTGTTGAATGTGATGTGTGCAAAAATCTCTGCTCTCGAGAAATGGTTGGAAGTTTTGGCGTAACAACAGTACAGAAACAAATTCGCTGAGAAATGTATTAACAATTAATAAATTTGCAATCGATCTAAATGCACATAAGGCAACAAAATAAAAGAGGGCTACGTTAACAAATATATATTTCTCTCTTTCTTTTCTTCCTTTTTCTCTTTTTCTAAATATAAATGTTTATATATAGACTATATATGATTATAATTTTGATTTTATTGTTGTAAAAATTATGACTATGTAGACATACACAACCTGATAACGCTCCAATGTAAAGACATGTATTGTTTTAGTTGAACTTTGCGGCAATGGCCGAAGCGTGTGACTCTATCTCACGTAGTAGTGGACTGTTAGATCTGCTTGTTAGAAATGTGTTATGTTTTCCAGATAATATCAGAAAAGAACCAACACCAGAAAGACTGCGTGTATGTGTATATATACACACACAAACATACATATACATATATATACATACACATACACACACACACACACACACACACACACACACACATATATATATATATATATATACATATACATATACATACACACACACACACACACATATATATATGTGTACATATATATATATATATTTTTTTTTTTTCTTACATTCTCATTAGATTTTTAGCTTACTCGCACTACGAGTATCACATCGGCTTAAATTAAGATAAATTAATTCGTAAATTAATGCAAAACTGGATATAAAAACAAGTCCACGCCCTCTGCATAAACATTTAAGAATAATGCATAATATATCTAATATATACTTTTGACAATTTCATCCTCTGAGACAACTTTAAGGCCCGCATGTGCACTAGCTTGCTCCTCTGTCGTAGAATAAACTTAAATTCCTATCTGGTCCCTCACCAAATTTTTTTTTAAGACAAATCTGAACAAAATGAGCACGAAATCCGTACACAGATCGTCTAAAAAGTGTATCTAGTTATCGTCCTCAAACAACTGGTAGGTAATGAGAAAAACACTATCAATCAGTGTATACATGCATTATATTACTATGTGATCAACCACTAAGCATAAACTATGCGAGAGTTCATTGAAAAAAAAAAGAAAAAATATTTAGTTATGAAAGTAAAAAGACATTGCCTACTTGAGATCTTCGCTTTAGCTTTATAATACGCAAATATATAAATCATTGTTTGGTGGAATTAAACGGGAATAAAACAGATTGATGGAAGTGAGGAAGAGGAGGATGAAGAAGAGGAAGAGGAGAAGGAAAATGCGGATGGTGAAGTGGACATCATTGAAATACATAATAACCGTTGCGGCAATGTGAAAACTTACGAGTGTGGTAGATGCTTTCCTCAGAGAGGCCTGCGATAGAATAGAAACACATGGTCATCAAACGAAATCATCCAAAAATACTATGTAAGGAAAAAAGTGCAGCGGAAAAGATGACATGCTATCGAAATGCGTTTCGAGCTGCAGGCTCTACTTGTGCTCCCATCAAGATCTAAAGTGTCCACGATCGACTGCACTTTCTTAAAATGATTGATACCACGTGCGTTGCACCTCGAGGTAACGTTAGTATTCTAGAATTTTGCGTAACGTGGCTCAAGAACTGTTCGTAGTTGTCAATACGTGTTTCGTGTTGAAACATTGAGAAATAAATTCATTTCACCGGCCGCGATTCATTACGACAATAATCATTGACCGCGGACGCGCGCGGTATCTATCGACCGCGAAAGAAATCACGACAGGTCGGGGACATGCTGTGTACAACAACGTCGCAGGAGTACATCCGTTCTCGCCGCGCGGCTACTTTTCTCTCGGGAATTGTTCAGCAGCGAAATGCTTAGACACTTGTCTTAGTCGATATCCTCGAGACTCGGACGACGAAGACTGGTGTCCGGAGAGGACGCGGGCAAACTTCTCTTTGGACTATAATTGGTACGCGGATTCTGGTGAGCAGCCTCGTGGAAACGACCGGACATATGTACAACGTTATCACCGTCGCAGCTGCGCAAGTATTCGTTACTCCTGGACTTGTGATGCAAGAAGGAATTCATCTCGATGCCGTGATCGAAACGATACGCGCCCTGCTTCGTGGACACGTCCGGCGTCGTCGTCGTCTCGACGTTGATCGGCGACCTCTTGTGCCTGGGTACCTCGTGGTATGGTCCCAGCGAGCTCTTTGACCTGGAGCTGTCGTTCGAGTGCTCCGAGTCGAAGTTGCACAACTCGGACTCGAGACTCTCGAAGTCGATGCCTTCGCGGGAGTTGGCCGCGAGGAACCTGGGCATCGTAGTGTTCGCCTGATCGGAGTCACGACGGTTCAACTGTGGTATGGATATTACATTCTCGAGGACGCTGTACTCCACTTTAACCGTGGCGGTTTTGTCATCGAGCGCGTCCCGGCTGCCCCAGGTCTTCATTTTGTTGAACACCCTTAGCGGGCTCTTGGAAATGCGTGACTTATGCTGGGAGGAGGAGGAAGAAGTTTTGCCGATGGAATTCTCGGGACTTGATTCGAGACCGTCGGTGTCGTTAATTTTGATGGTAACGGAGTTCTTTCTCTCGGTGCTATATGGCGAATTGAGGGAGCTTTTTCTCGAGCCGGAAGGCGACCGGAAGAAATCGGCCAAGGACGCCAAACGCGATTCCGAACTGTCTCTGCGCTTCGACTCCTTCGACTTACTTCTATCACGTTTCTTACTCTTGACCCGCTTCGCGGTGCCCACCAAAGTGCACGCTACGTTCTGCACGAAATTCGTGGAATGCGAGTGCTCCCACTCAAGCGGCCTCTGGCATTTGGAGGACGTGGCCTTCGAAGCGCCACCACCCACACGCCCGACTCTCGGGTAATCGTCGTTAATTATCGAGGGCTCTTCCGAAAAATGGGTCTTAAGATTGTTCGGGGTTTTATGCAGAACTATGGACTCGTATATGTCGTTGTCCAGAATGACAAAGTCCTCGCCTATGTTGTAGGGCGCATAGCGCGTGCCCTGCACGATGCTGTCGAGGTTTTGCGGCATATCGTTATAGTTACTACAACCTGGCTGATTATCTATCAGATTATTGGCCGAGGAGTACAATTTTCTGGAGGTAGGGTTACCTATTTCCTGCAGAAGCGGGGAGCGATGCGCGTTCGCCAACAGGGCTGTACGCAGCGGTGTCTTTTCGAGATCTGGCGCGGAACGGGACCAACGTTTGCCGCCAGGGGAGGCGGGATTTGGCGGCTGGGTGATAATAGCCCCGCGTTCACGTTGATGAAGCGTCGACGGCCCCCAAGTCTTACCCTTAACTCCGTCCGCCGGTACTAAACGGGGAAAAAAAAAGAAACAAAGTGCTACTCACTACGAATACTAACTAACTACTATAAACTCCTCTCTCCCTCGCTTTCATTCGGCGGAGGCAACTCGGCTTCTTACGGATATACTTTTCGGAAAGCGACTGTGTGTTCAAACAATATAATTGTGCATACTAATCTCAGCGACTGGTATACTCTGTATCACTATGATAATACATTAGCTCAAAGTAATTGTGGCTTTTGCAAAACAAGAAAGTAAAATGGAAAAGTATCCAATATATATAAAAACAATGTTTGTGCACACCATGCCGAAAAAGTATTGACATGTATAAAAAGTACAAGGTGTCTACCACAAACAAACAGTGTAACACTCAAATTGTCTGATTACAATTCAATACGTTCGATCGCTGATAAAGTCACTCATATCGCACAATAAATTGTCAATAATCACGGTACTACTGAAAGCGTTCAGGATAAAGTTACTCACATGCAATTGCTCTGAGTCTTGGAATGCTGGGTGAGCCTGGTGGGCTGTTAGGTCTCGACGGGTTCCTCACTTTGCCCCGATCCAAGGCCGTATGTTGAACAGTGATTGTATGACGAAAATCTAGATGATACAGAAAAATCTCTAATTATAATCAAAAATATATTATTTTCACCAAAATACACACACACACACACACACACACACATATATATATATTTTTTTTTTTTTTTTTTTTAAGAAAAACTTATATAATTACTATGTACAAACAAAAACTCTAAAAGATCGGTCTTGCATCATAGCATATAATAAAATATGAGGAGAAAATGGTGTTTTTACCCGATGGTGCACTGATATTGCTCCCAGGCTCCTTTTTGTTTAATTTTAACCGCGACTTTTTAAATTTGCCACGTCTCTTGTTTGGTGTAGGCGTGTTTTGCTGTTGAATGATCATTACGGTGAGTTCCCTTTCCAAGAGATCTATCTCACGGGCGGCTAATTCCTGCTCCCGCTGCCTCAAATTTTCTTCATGCTGTCTCTGTTGTACCTGTGCCTTCGTCAGTTCTTCTTCTCTACAGCGCAGCTCCTTGCAAATGAAGTTAAGAAGATACGTCAGACAGCTAATTCACTTAAAGCACCGCAATTATACATATACTAAGTCACTAGATTTTCTATTATATCTGTCTTAGAGACAGTAATTACCTCAATCAAAAGAAAAATATAAATTAAATAATTATTTTTTTAACAATGATATATTAACTAACTTTTTTGTTTTATCTTACCTCCTCTAAAGAACGGCATGCCTTTGCAAAGCGTTTAAAACAACGATTATAAAAATTATTTACTTTATAATACATACTTGTAACATATAATACATATAAGGTTTCAACGTGATATTTTAAAATATTCTTATAAAATTGTACGAAAGAGCTTAGTATTGTTTAAATGATTTCAAATATAATGATGTATAAATAATTTGAACATAATATAAGATAATGCGTGTTACCTTTTCCTTCATGCGCAGTCCGTGTAGAACTTGCTCAATCTCCAGTCTCCAATCTTCTTGCATCGTGTGAAAAGATTCATGTGGCGTTGCCGCGAATGCATCTCGTACTTCCTCCAACGCTACTAAAATCTCTGCAAATCCAGGCCGAGCATGACTGTCCGACGCCCAACATTCTAAATAATAAATGCTTTCAGTGATATATCCACTAGACTCAGGAAAATGTATGATTAAAAATACAATTTGAGAAGAGAATCTCCTCTTTGTGTTCGCACATTACTAATCTCTTACCTTCCATGAGATACCTCCAAGGTTGAGGACAAGTGGATGGTATAGGTAGAGTCAGCTTATTAACGGCGACACCGTACGCTATAGCCAGAGTATCGATACCTTTGTAGGGTATCTCTCCCGTCAAGAGTTCCCACAGCAATACGCCGTAGCTGTGAGTAAAAATTTCACAAGTACTTTAACTAAAAGATCAATATAGCTTAATAAATTACGAAACACTCTTTCGTGAAATGAAGATATCAAACTCTACGTCAAAGACTGACCTCCATACATCACTGGCTTTGCTGAAAGTGCTCTTTTTGATCACTTCCGGCGCCATCCAGGCATATGTGCCAGCCGCCGACATGCGGGTTGTCTTGTAGACTTCTCTCGCCAATCCGAAGTCCGTGATCTTTAGAGTTTTGTATTGCAGATCGTCGTTTTCAATCGGTTCACTCAGCAACACTATCGACATAGAGATATATTTAAAGTAAAAGAGGAAAAGAGGATTTTTGTTAATGTAATGATTAATATATCTTACCATTGGAACTTTTTAGATCTCTATGAATAAGACTTATAGGAGCTTTGTTATGAAGGTAATCCATGCCTCTTGCGATTTGTATCGCCCAATCGACTAATACGTCAGGTCTAATCTTCCTGCCACTAAGGACTCTATTAAGACTACCGCCGCGAGCGTACTCCATCACAAGACACATATTAGGCATCTTTATACACACTCCTTCTAATTGCACAATATTCTCATGTTTCAATAACCAGAATAATTTCGCTTCCTGCCGAACATTTTCTAACGTTACACTGGGCTCTTCGTCTGGGTCTTGGCGCGCAGCCTTCACAGCTACTTCGCGGCCCTTCCAAAAACCCCTGGAAAATCAAATAAATCTTATTAAAGATCACTCTTAAATGTGTGCATCGGAATATATGTGTGTTTATCTTGAAATCATTCTCGGATTTTAGAATCGATATATCAGAATCTTTTTCTATGGAATGTTTTCGCTGAAATAAATGTTACACTGATAGCTCTTTGTATACATCTATGAACTAATTTATTTGCCTACCTGTACACTTTCCCAAAACCTCCGACCCCTATAACTTCCTCCAATTGCAACTCCTCGAAATTGATTTCAACAGGTTGGACTTTATCGATCACCGACGAAACTCGATCGATACTCTCTGCCTCCGCGACAAAGTTTGCCGGAAAGATTCCCACTTTCCCGTGAACCTTTCCAGTCCACCATCCTTCGTCGCCTGAGATTTTCGAGTCTTTCGACAAAACCTATTGTAGAAAACAACTGTGTCACTTGCCGGGCTGTTGTGTTATAATAAAAAAAAAACACGTAATATTGTTGCAACCGAATCGGTCATTTTTAATTCTTTGAAGCACTTCACTTCAAACAATTCCATTTCATTATCAACTAGTAATTTTCTCTATAAAATTATTTTAAATAAAGAAATCATCAAGACACGTTATTGTTGAAGATAAAGCTACCTCAACAGTTTCCCCTCTCTGAAGAGATAACTCATCTTCACCCTGAGCGACATAGTCAAAGAGGGCCGTGAAAATAGTGGTGCTGTTGTCCTGTCGCGACTGAGAAGAGGAATGTGTACCATGGGATGGACTAGTCTGTTGAGAGACAGTTCTTGCAGTTCCACCGCTGTGCGTATCAGAAATGCTGCTGTCAGACATATTGTTGCTAGATGTATGTCCATATATGTATCCGTAGCTGCAAGAAGAAATCACCCCTCAAAAAAATTACCCACATAGCTAAATCTGCAGAAGCAGATTTCACGCAATGTCTATTGTAAATATGTTGTCAGCAATTTGGTAGTAGAAATATAACAGGATCTGCTAGCAGAGTATGATTGACAACAGAAACTGAGCAGGATCTATCATTCTGTAATTATTTAAATGTACTTAAATGAAATATACTGCAAACTCTGCTCGGTTTCTGCCATCAATCTGTTGTCAAATCATCAGGCTCTGTCGACAGAATACAAGTTTAGTGCGTACACAGATGACTATGGATCTGCCATTCTGGTCAAATCTGCTGCCACTCTGCTGGTATACTGCTAACACTTTGCTTATTGGTATCTAAATATTTATTGATATTTAAATATACTGCAGATTCTGCTCGCTATCAAGTTATGTCAGCAGTCCTGTTGACAAAACACGAGTTTAATACAGACACAGATGATTATGGATTTGCCACGATTTCTACTGTCAATTTGCCAATATACTGCTAACATTTTGCTTTTTAGATACCAAGGAGTCGCGAGATTACAGATCTCGTGGCTCATCATCTGTGGCAGACAACTGTGTTAGCACTCTTGAATTACTCCAAGAATAATTAACTATGGTTGATCAGTTTGTTTAGACTTTAAGGTGAATGTCCCAATGACTGAACTAATAAACACAATTAGTTTTATATTTTCATTAATAAATAATAGAATTACTAACAAAATTGACATTTTTATAAAACTTTGAAGATTTGTCAGCAGTGAAAAAATTGAAAATAAAATAATCAATTATGATTGAACTGAACAATGGATCATGTCTTAATTACTGAATGATACAGTAATCAAATGTTCATTAAATAACATTACAAATTAGCACAAAGAGAAATCTTTTAACAAAATTTCAGAGGTTCTTTACTCGAAATATCAAGTACAAATATACTATTAATATTTTTCTCATTGGAATAATGTTTAATTACTGAGATATTCACCTGACAGCAAGGGTTGTGAAGTAGAGCTTTTTTTACCTAGTGTTGTGACTATTAGTTCTGCTGTTATGCTGATACCGCGGCGATGAATTGGTCGTATTTGGACTGTGAGGATGTGAGGAGCCATTCTCTGGATAGAGTAGGAAATGCTCGCTCCGATGACGAGCATCCGGTTGTCCGTGGTCCATCAAGGTAGACAAGCCTCTCGCCGATAACCCGGCCGGCGGCATATGGCTCGACACTCTCCTTACTCCTCTCTTCTGCGTAAATCACTCTTCCCTTCTGCTCTTTACTTCGCCACCGATACCACGTCGGTACCTCGTGTACGACGCGCGACGTCAAACTCTAGGCCGTTATTCACCGCTTCGTTTCTTATCGCGGATAAATCGTGGACACATATCAGGACCGCGAAGCGTCGTCGTTTTGACATATCCTGCGGCAGCGTGACGGACGCTTCCGCGACGACGGAGAACGAGCCGTTCTCGCGTTTACATCGGGTGCATTCCCCCTCCCTCTCCCCCGCTCAGCGTTAGTAAGTACTACTACGAAAGTGTGAAATCGGGCCGCGTCAGCGTGACCGCCGTGTTTCCCATCGGGTAACGACACTCGAGGAGTACGATCGGGGTCTCCTGCGCAACGGGAAAGAGGAAGCAAGAGAGGACGCGATCGCCGTATGTCGCTTTCGCTCTCGTTCTCTCTCTCTCTCTCTTTCTTTCTCTCTCTTCTCACCACCCCGTGCGCGAAAACAATTTCACGAGAACCGGCATTCTGATGCGCGTGTCCACGAGCGGCACGCACGGACCTCGGTCGCGAGGACGACCGTCGACGGACCGCGGTTGCGAGAGAATTCGCCGAGGATTCCGCGATATGCTAGAAAATACCAGTCTCGGCGGTCTCGCGTCAGGGTGTGTATACCTTTACAAGCCCACTCTGTCTCTCTCTCTCTTTCTCTCTCTTTCTGTTGACGAGGCCTGTTTTTCTGTCGCCGCCGGGTCGTTCCTACGACCAACCGACTTGGCTCACGCGGGCTTCAAACTGGCGCGCTCGCCGCCCCGAGGACACGACGCTCCGCGTCAGTCCGCACGTCGCGCGACGATGCCACATTTAACAATAGAAAACGGAACAGCACTCATAGCAATAACCTCGCGAACGCCATGTTTCGTACGACGGCCCCGTGACATGAAGCCACGACTCTCATGTAGACGCGCGTCCCATCGTACTCTCGCGTCCCCTCCGCCGACACCATCTGTTACCGGCTGCCGTGTATCACCACGTGAACGAGCGAGCCATGCGTCTGCTTGGCATTTGAATTGTAATTCTTGTGCATTTGAATTGTAATTTAAACGGAAACACTCGCGACTTTGAAGCACTTATTGGAAACTTTACGTGCGCAAGATCAGATATTGGTTTTTATATTACGATTTGTGTAAATCTATTTAATGTCATTTTGACTTTTGTATTCTACTTGGATTTCCATCTCGATACATATACCTTCTATAAACTTTCAGATATACTCTTTATTAACTAACTTGTCTTTGCCAACTGTGATTAAATATTAGATATTTATATGGAATATTTTTATAACGTAAGATATCTAAATTATACAGTGAATTCTAATTATTTTCTAGATCAGGTTCACTTCTACATATCACAGAGATACGTCTACTTTTTGGTATGTGTCGTCCTCCAAAGTATGACTCTTCACATTTCAGGATCTCATGGTTGTACTTGTACCTCGCAACACCGCTAAAAATCCGATCATATATGAGTAATAATGTGTATTAATATTATTTAATCAACCCCTTAAGAGGATGCTGGAGTCAACGACGAACTCGAACAATGTCGATAATGTAGAGACGATCGTCACTAACATAATCACATTATCCTTTTCGTATTTCTTGTACATATAGAACTTACATGAATGTATGTTGCTTTGTTTTACCATACTCAACGGAAAACCTAACCATATATGTGTAGAAATATTTCTGCAAACTTTTTCGATATTCTTAAGCTTCCAAATGCGGATGCAAAGGTAAACAATGTTCTTCAAAATTTTTTTGCTTGGAGCATCCACAATTTCGGTATGCACAAGCTGCAGAATTTTGGATTAGGCAAATATTACGCTGACAGCTTGAGATTTTACATTAAAAATTTTTTGTTTGTTTTCAACACATATCGAGCAATGCTTCTATTTATTTTTGCACGTACTTTCATTGCGTAAAAGCATTTGTAATTCTGTGTAACCAATACGACGTAAACTTTGCAGAAAAATGTCAGTGTTCTGTCGGTAAAGTTTTTAGCTTCAGCATCCTCTTAAGTGTGTATGTAGTATATGTATACAGAAAAGGCACGTGCCACCAGTGTGTGATGTACATATATGTACATCTTAAAAAACACTAATTTATCCTTTTATGATTTATATGAAACTTAGTATCTTACAGTTTTTGAAGTTTTTGAATCCGAATATAATATTAAAATCTCAAAATCCAATATGGCAGATCAAAAGTTAGAAAAATAATTGGATTTTTATAAAAATGATTGTACTAAAGTTTTCAAAGTCGCTGAATACAAATGTGATATCTAAATCTAAAAATTCAAAATGGCAAGTCCAATATGGCAGATTAAAAATTGGAAAAATAATTAGATTTTTATATTTTGACCTGCTACTTTGAATTTTAAAATTTTGATATCATATTCGGATTCAGCGATTTTGAAAACCTTAATACTAAAATCTTAGTGGAAATATAAGAAACTTTTTTTCACACACTGGTGGCATGGAAATCTCATTTTCACCACACAGTCAAGGAGTTAATAATGAGAAAACTGGGAGAAAGAAAATATGTCAAACCTCATGATGTATAGCGATCTCCTTGGAAGTAGAAAACACTCAGAGCACTCCTTCTCATGTTCCACCAAGTTCAGTCTCATCACGCTGTCACTCAGTAGACTTAATCCTGCAATAATTTCTCCACAAAACTGTAAATATTTTAACTATATGGAGAATCATTGTAGAACTGTTTTAAATAGATACGATGATATTTCATTACCCTGACACTATCGACATGTGGCTTTATCCATCCTTCAGCAGCTAAATCCAGTATATGCACTAGTGAAAGTTGTACCATATCTGATGGAAATGCTGTTTTACGAACCCTATTGAGAATCTCTGAATTATCTTTGCTCCATTTCCTCCATTCTGTTTCTCTGTAACCATGTATTGCCTGTACAAAAAGATAAAAGTGCTAACATATATGAAACAAGCTAAATAGGTATCTATGTACATTTAGTGTTAATTAACATTTTACTAACATTGTCCCAATGTGAAAATTCATAACGCAGTTTCATCATATAAGGATCAATCTCGCGTATCAAAATCTCTTCTTCCTGTTCGCTAATGAAGTTTGGTAAGATTTTCATTGTGCTGTGTAACTTCACTTTCCAGTCCTTCGTCACGCTCGTATTTAATTCTTTCGAGTCTGAATCAGAATTGGTAACATATTTCGAGGTAGTACGACAAAATGTTCTATTTACGATGTGATATACCAAACGTGAGATCATTGCAATTTTCTGAATTCAAAAATTTATCAATATAAAATTTGTCGAAAAACTTATGTTAACGAATATGTAACATATACAGACGATACAAACCAAGTATAAATTTAGAAAAACTTGAATCTTTTATATTTGCGAGTTTATATATTAGTTATCAAATTCTAATATATATAATATTTATATCACAGAAATCTGACAGTAAATATAGGTTATCTCTAATTAATATAACAGATTTTCTCTCTCTCTCTCTCTCTCTCTCTCTCTCTCTCTCTCTCTCTCTCTCTCTCCGAACGGTGTACAGGCACAGATGTCTATACTAAACTAGATTGTTAACAAGGGTTTCGAACGTGTGTCGCGTAAGGTTTCCGATTGCATGCGAGCAAATGGCAGCGGTCCTGTGTGTGTGTGACGGGAGCGTCCCGATTGACCACGGTACGATTGGACACAACCAACCGATGAAAAGAATTATCTAGTGAATATTACTAGGTCGAACCAATCATTACAATCTGTGTCCAATCGTATCGTGGTCAATCGGGTCCCACCCTGTGTGACTGGGTGTGACGTGCACTTGGGTTGCGTTCTTTTATTTGCAACAAATGTAGCTGAATGCATCTCGTGGCATCAGACAAAATCCATAAAAAACAAGAGGACAATGTTGGCCATCTTAGAGTGCGTTCAGATTCCTCATCCGGGTGCACTCTATTACTAGAAACACTATAGTATATGTGACATATACTATAGCACTTCTAGTAATAGAATACACCCGGGTGGGGAATCTGAACGCAGCCTTAAATGTTTCTAGGTTCCATAAATTCATTTCTGAAAGTTAATATCACTGTTGCACATTATGGCTCCTGCACACAGGACACGGTAATGCTTTCCGCGCGGCGGAAGTTCGCGCGACAGCCAATCAATATGTTGCTTTCCCTAATAACCTTCTAGCTCTTACGGAAAAACT